TTGTATTTTATGATCACCAGCACCAGAAGCAGTTTTGAATCTCATATCCTACAAATGCATGAAAACCTGTCAGACCAACTGTGGGTCTCAAAAATTGTGGAAATAGCTGCAATAACATGGCCAGCCATTGAAGAAGAAGCAGAGGATGATTCGGAGTTTTCTGATCCTCTGGAAGGTATAACTACATGAATAATTCTTTCGCACCTTCATTTTTCCTCTCACAATTCATTTGTGTTATCGACCAATAATCAATAACGATAAATAGGTCGATTACGTATAAAAATGTCGAAGAAATCCTCAATAGGTATTGCTTTTATATCTTGTTGAAATTATTAAATTAAGTCAATTATTATTTGTAACAGGCGTAGAAACACTTGAAAGCTGCCCTGAAGGAGCCACGGAGTCTGTGTCTAGGAGGAGAAATTCATTCGACAGTGATATGTTTATCAATTTCAATTCAATTATCAATAAAAACTATGAATTAGTTGAATTTTTTATTTTTTTCCAAAAATCACTGATTCCACTAAAACTTCAACACTCTTTTGCATAGAAACCAAATGACATACCAAAAAGTATCATGAGACCTGAATTGTAGATAATTTTCCCCTCTTGATTTTACTACTCGTTAATTTTTTGTGTCAACGGCTCCCTTTGCGAGTTGAAAGCTAAAAACCACTAAAAAACATAATTTTGTGTGCTCTTTTGGTATTTTCTGATATTTGCCGATGGAATTTTTGGTGGACAACTCAAGATTCGTGTTGAGCACATCAAAGAGCATACTATAAACCACTGAAATTAATTACACCAGAACTTTCCACTTCAAGCTGTTTTTGTGCACCATTTGATTGAACTAATAGTCACTCATAAGATTTGAGTATATAAAAATCAGGAACGAATAGTGAAAGTGAACAACAAAACTACAAAACGAATAAAATAACACACTGTCATAACAGAGGTATATAAAAAAATTATTTTGATCTGAAGTATTGTCCTTTTTTTGGTTTATACATCATTAGTAATATGTACACTTATTACTTCTTTTGTAAAATCAATTCAAACGGGGCGTGCCGAAATATCATGAAAATCATAAGTGTATATGATTAACTGCAAATTGATAATAATATAGGTGATTATAATAATAACTAAGTGTCGAAATATTTTTCAGTAGATCTACTGAAAATTCAGTAGAACTGGCAACCCTGCAACGGACCAAAAGTGGTTGCGGACGAAAAGTTAGTGTATGCGGTTTTTCGTTCGACGTAAAATAACTTCACACTACACTGTTTTACCACTAACCAAACCGACTTTTTAAACGCCTCGACAAGTGTTTCGCTAACTATGTTAGCATCTTCAGGAGAAGATTAAAACTGAAAAATAACTTTATTTCCAGAAATGAAACACCCTCTGTTTATGTTCATTTCGGAATATGAAATTTTTTGGGATCACAATACAGCATTACAATATTCATATACAGGGTGTTGACAAATAAGTCTCACAACGAAAAACTGTAGATTCCTCATACTAAAAGAAACATTTCTTTCGTCTAGAAAATTTTTCTCTAGGCTTCCGTTTTCAAGATACAGGGCGTCAAAAAATAAAAAATGTTCAGTTTAATTAAACATTTTACAACACTTAATAAACTTGACGATTTGAGAACCAGCAACGAGACCAGCATACGCAAGAACCTGACATTTGATTGAACATATTCTTAGACAGTTCTGAGGTGTTTATTTCCAGTGGATTTTCAGACGATAAAATCGGGATTTTGTATGTTCTTATTCATAAAGAGCCATTTTTCGCAGAAACTATTCACTTTAGAGCATTGAGACAAGAAGACGTTTTTGTGTGGAAGATATTGGCGCTTCAGAATCTACTTCGAAAATCACAATTTCTCCAGTGGCATAAATGTTTGGGGGGTTAAACCCTTACGAGGCGTTGAATTCTCCTCCACTGACATGTCCAAGGAAATTGATCAAGAGCCCTAAAAGTAGTCATTATTGATGATGAAGTGTGTACGAAGGCTTAACTCTGTAGCTCAAAAGGTTCCTAAGATAGTAGCAAAAAACAGATTTTTTTGTATTATTTTGACGCCCTGTATCTTGAAAACGGAAGCCCGGAGAAAAATTTCGAAAGGGAAAAAAATGTTTTTTTTTTCATGAGGAATCTACAGTTTTTCGTTGTGACACTTATTTGTTAAGACCCTGTATACAATATATGTTATTTTCTATTTTTACCTTGATAGAAGATTATATCTTGGTAATATGGACCTTGTCAAGCTTTTTTTGAATTATTTTTCGAAAACAGCCCATCACAAGAAGGCACAAAATGTTTGACAAGACAAGTCATTTTTATGAAATGTATGCTATTGAAGCCATTCAATGGTGAATTTCAGATGTATTGAACTGTGCTTTCGTGAGTTACTGATGAATAAATTCATTTTTTCTACAAACGTCAAAAAATGACAAGGTTCGCGCATTGATAACAAATTGCGAAGTGACACTTTTTTTCAGTTTCCTACGTTACCATGATACCTTGCACATAACAATGCGCGAAGTAAAACAGTGCGCGAAGTACCTACTTCGCGCATTGTTATGTAAAATATGTGAGATATTTTTATTCCAACTTAATGGTCCTCAATCGAGCAAACATCCACGAAATCATTCATTTCTGAATGTTCAACCATAACTTTGTTTTATCTCTTGGAGCGCACGAAAGGAAATTCCTAATATGTTCGTGGAACATCGTGCGTACCTAGGGAGGATAGGGGGAGGCTTTTTAAGCCAGTTCAACACTATTTTTTATATCAAGCTGAGCATATTTTTACTTCAGAACTATATTTTTTGACGTTTGTAGAAAAAATGTTGTTTGCAACTCGAGCGCGAAATACTTTGGTGATCGAGATCTGATTTTTTTAACGAGGCATAGCCGAGTTAAAAAAATAGTCGAGAGCATTTCGCGCTCTAGATACAAAAATAACTATTCAGTCTCCTGGAATAGGTCGATTTAAATTTTGGATTTGCCACATTTTTCAAAGAAAATGGAATGAACAGGATGATCAACGTTTGAGTAGTGACGTCCGCGACAATTTTTTCAAATAGAACACCCGATATATAATAACATTTATGGAATCTTTATAAAAGGTTACATTCAGAAATATATTACACGATGGGTTTCTATACAGTACATCTGTTAAATTAAGTGCTTTCGTAAAGTACTGAATACATTTAGTTTTGACCAAACTATATATCCATTTTTGAGGAATATATACCTGGCACATGTCGATTTCGCTTCTCAATTTACCACATTCATGAGGAAAAATTAGATATACAATACAGTACATCTGTTAAATTAAGTGCTTTCGTAAAGTACTGAATACATTTAGTTTTGACCAAACTATATATCCATTTTTGAGGAATATATACCTGGAACATGTCGATTTCGCTTCTCAATTTCTCACATTCATGAGGAAGAATTAGATATACAGGGTGATTCACGTTTGAATTATGATTTCCGCAACAATTTTTTCAAATGGAGCACCCTATATAAAATGTGTACGATTTCAACCCGCAACGCCATCCCTACCCGTCGACCGATTTTCAAATACAAAAATAGTTATTTATTATACAAGGGAAAAAAGTAGTAGATTTTAGCTCCAGGTTGTGTTGTCTCCCGACGCGTAGCGGAGGGAGACAAAAAACCGTGAGCTAAAATCTAATATTTTTCCCGTGTATAATACACTATTTTTTTCAGTGACAGAAGAAAGGACGAATCAATATTGAGAAGATATTACATTATTTCGAAATCTGAAAATCAGCGACGTGAAATTTCAAGTTTTTAACAGTAGGGACACCTGCGTTTTATAGACATCTTTATCATTCTTTTGAAGTAATCAAATATCTGATGTCACTTCTGTCAGTTCAATTCTGTGATTTTATTTTAAAAAAATTGCGAATTCAGTAGTTGTTTAGTAATATACGAAACCGCGAAGTCGAATGGAAGATAAAAGGACTTGCATTTCTTTCTCGGAGACGGTATTATTGACTCATTTTTCGGAACTATAGCACAACAAAAGCCATTAACAGAGTATATATATATGTGATATATATCCGGGAAAGAAGTACTCACTTTTTTCCCACGGGAAAAAAGTAATTTATGAAAAGTGACATTTTATAACCTGCCAACAGAGATGAAATGCCAAACTTTTTTCCCGTCACAGAAAAAAATATTTATATTTTCAAGGCCAACTTTCGTTTGTTGAAAAGGTCAAAATATCAGAAACGACTGTTAGGCAATTTTTTTCCATGGGACACCTGGTATATTAACCTACATCAGGTAGATCTTGTTGCATTCGTAGCTCCAATGATAGGTTCATCCAAATATAGGATGAAATTGTTGTTTTCAGCTGAAACATATTGAAAATAATCAAAGTTTCGTTGAGATGCCAATCCCAGTTCAGAGAATATATAATCTTAGGTCAATGTTCCATTTTTTTCCCTTTCGATTCATTTAAAATCTACAAACATAATTGGAATCACGAACGATCGCACTCATACTCTGATTGTAATTAGTTACGAAATATAGTTGAGGTGAAGAATACTCTAAATATGCGTTAGGACCCTATGCATACCGTTGATTAATATATATCAACGCCTATACATAGGTGAACCCCTCATGCATACACCTTGTGGACGCGTTCTTTACATCTTATTGGGACCATATTGGGAAACTTTTTTCATTATTTCACCTCCATCAGCTTCGGATTCATTGTGTATGCAGTCGAGACACTCTTTGCAATATTTGTTAAGAAATGTAAATGAATAAGGCAACATCAATATATTATGAATATGTGAATATATGTAATAACAATTCTTCTCTCGTCCACGTGTGTTGATGTTTCCATTGCCAATATCATGCGTTTATTTTCTCTCCCAGTAGTATGAATGATAATGAACAAACAATGCATAAACCCACTATTCAGCAACCATAATTTCTCTCCGCAGGCCAATCAATCCGCAAGTTAGTCGGCAAGATCCGATCAGCGAGTGCTGAACGAAAAGCGCGCCAACGAGCCAAAAGATCTCCGAGCCCTTCTTACCAAAAGGGTCACGTGATCGACAGCAACATAGGTCACAGCATGGATAGACTAGATAGGATAGATAGGCAGCAGGCACCGGTCCAGAGGTAATGTAATACTTAGTTATTCAACACACTCGCATATGTTGAAGGACCAAATATTGTATTCTTTTCAGAACATTTAGAGTAGTCATTTCGCAGTAGTAATCGTCACTTTGAACCGACACTTATTACTTTTTATTGACAATTGTCAGGTTAAACTGATAAATTCCACTTTGAACTCGCAGTTGCTACTTTGAACTCACAACCGTCAATCTGTTAACTGGCAATTGTTACTCCAAAACTGGACTTGCATTACCAATGTCAAGCGATAATATTGTTCTTCAGTCAATTCACGTGTAGGTTGTACAGGGTGTCAATTTGAAAACTTCCCACCCTTAATATCTTCCTCCAAATCGATCATATGGAAAAATTAAAAGACAGGTCGATTTTATTCTCAGGTTAGCATTTAAACAGAGATTATTGTATTGATTCTCCTTACAGTAAAATTGGTCAGGAAATTAGGTAACAACTTTCCATCGTTTCAACAGGGGCAACAGTATTAGCCATTATATACATACCAACTGGCCGTCGACCTAACGAGAGGTCCTTCAGCTCATTAGTGTTATGTGTAGGCTTTGTAACTAACTCCATAACAAATCTTAGGAGCAGCACTGTTAATTGAAACGCAACAGCGAATCGTGTCGAATCATCTCCGGCCGAGGCTACAAAAATTATAATTTATTACCCGTTTGATACACTCACCGGCAAAAAATTTGCCCAAATTGTTCACCCTGTAACTTTTTTAATCCTCTAGTCCGATTTTTGTGAAATTTGAATCAAACCGTAGAATCATGTTCTGGAATGTTGGCCTAAATATTTGTTCTCGTGAAGAGCTGATGATTTGATCATTATACAGGGATATCCTCTGGACATTCATTGTAAGTCCAGAGGCCACAAGTTTGGATGTTCATTGGATATCCATCCTGTACATCTACTGTACATGAATTGTATAACTATTGCACATGAATTGTACTACTACTGGACATGAATTGAACAATTATAGTACACCTATTGTACAAACACCGTACATGAATCGTACATTTTAGGTACAAGTTTTGAACAATATGAATAAAACTGTCCCCCTATACATTTCGAATATATTTTCTTTTCTATAATTTTGTCTCAAGAGTCTAAAGTGAAGCTGTTTTAGCCCTGCTATGATACATTCATAGTATTCACTTCTACAGCTCAAATGGTTGATTCATACAACGTTGATGATTTGATCACAATTTCAGTGCATTGGGTTAACTGATAAATTTAAATCACTATTGAATATTTCATATCATATAACGATGGATGATTTCTATGAGAAATGATATATGAGAGGACAAGCACACATATTCTAAAATATTATGTAAACATTGAAAAAGTAATCATTAAACATAACCTCAAATTGACCTCGAATAATTTTGAACGGGTACCTACGTTGAAAAAGGTGATAACATTATGAAAATGTAACTATGGTTATATTGCTGCGTGAATCTGCTTCAAACAATACAAACTTCTGCATACAATAAGAGCAAACACAATCGACGGAAAACATAACGAACAGACAATAGAGAACACTTAACAGAGATGGCGATGGCATATGCATTCTTTCAGTCCACTAGATACATGATGGATATCCATTGGAAAGGTGTCACTATATAGGTATACATTTGATGGGCGATTAGGTTTTTCCAATGGTTGTACAGTTCGTGTCCATGAATATTCGGAACTTTTTCTGATAACCATTTTAGTAGTGTCAGTAGTATTCCATTGGATAGGCATTTTGGTTCATTCAATGGATGTACATTTCTTGTTCATGGGCATCCGAACCTTTTTTGGACTTGGAATGGACATTCATTGGATGGCCCGTGTTATTAGAGGAAATGTCTCAGGGATTCAAATATGAAATGATATATTGGGTGATATATTGAAAAATTCAAAACCGGAGCTGACCGGGAAATGAAATATATTTGAAAAACCGTTCTTTCCTCATACCAAATTTCATTTCGATACACCGAAGTTATGACTCGTCTAATAGATCTATTTCACACATTTAGTTTGCATTCAACAGGTACTATCTGGGAGAAGATCCTTTTGCCGGAAGCATATATGGGAGGGAACACAAATACGAGGGTGCGAAGCCAACATCTAGAATTTCTAGAAGACCGCCAAAAGAGGTTCAAGAGGAGAGGAGGTAGGAGGTGTTTTGTCTGGAATGGGCTGGTTTTATAGTGGTAGTAGTTAGTGGGTAGTTGAACTAAATTATGTTTTTACCAAATAAATGTATAATGTTATTTCCATTCGTAAGGCTCAGATTGGGGTCTATTAACATTCGAAGGGTGGTGGCAAACTGCTGTTGTATATATGTATAGACAACGTGAATTTGAGACAGATAATACAGGGTTACTATAAATGATATGATCGAAATATTTTTTCATCTTTGATTGTATGTTCTATTCAATAATATATGGCATTATTGGAAATTTCTCAGGAATCCTAAATCGAAGTAGAGTAAGTACACAGAACTTGTAAGGCGTATGATTCTCTTACTCTCAATGGCAGACTTATGAGACGGCGGACATTATAGAAACAGGGTGTTGCGAAATTCGACCGACAACGCTTGACAAGTGATAGCCCTCGTGATTTCATGATCACAAAGATAGGGACATTCGGTCTTCAAGTGTTCAGTTCTCGAGATACAGGGCGTTGAAATTTAAATAGGTTTTTCGCAATATCTCAAGAAAAATTTGATATAATGCATATAGATTCGGTATATGGTTTTATCTTTCAATGGTTAATTTTTTGACCAGAATGACATTCCGAGAATTTCAACCAAAGGTGCCCTACAGAGGGTTGTGATAACTTTTCCTCCCATATTTTGTACGCCACTGATGAAATTTCGATTATTTCCGTTATCGAGATAGTTGATTCAAAATAGAAGTTTGCATAGTAATTTTTCATCTTCTTCAGTAATAGAAGATAACAAAAATTTTAGTTTTCTCTTTATACGTGGAATAACTATTTCTGTTCAGGTATTGAATGAGATCTGAATAGTATCTAATCTACTAAACACTCTACTACTCAAAAAAAATATTTTTGCAATTTTTTACTCCTGAAAATGATGAAATATTACTATGCAATCTTCTATTTTGGGTCGAATATCTCAAAAACTGTTCATTTCAGCTCAGTTGAAGGATGAATTTCTTGAACAAAATTGAACAATGAATTCGAGGAATTTGAAATAACTAAAATTTCATCAGTGGCGTAGAAAATATGGGAGGAAAAGTTGCCACACTTCCCTTTAGGGCAACACTGGATAAAATGTCCGGAATGTCTTTCTGGTCAAAAAATGACCCATACAAAGATGGAACCATATACCGAAGTTGGAAGCATTATATTCAATTTTTCTTGAGATATTGCGAAAGAACTATTTTTATTTCTCAACTTCAACGCCCTGTATCTCGAGAACTGAACACTTGAAGTCCGTATGTCCCTATCTCAGTGATTATGAAATCACGAGGGCTATCACCTCTCAAGCGTTGTCGGTCGAATTTTGCAACACCCTGTATATGCGGAAATGAATGCACATTTTTTAATGCACATACCTTCAGAAATACACTATATCTTGAATACGAGGTGGAATCATTCGATGAAAAAACAGTTGATTATACAATAGTCCTCGCAGAATATTTGAAAATCGAGTCGTGTTAGCGGCGGAAGAGTAACACCTAACGAAATTAATTTTCAGCAACCTGGACCACTCTGTATACCTTAATGCAAAGGGGTGAACACGACGTTCGATTGTACATGAATTAAATGTTCCATCGATAATTGTGGGTATAAATCTGAGTGAGATGCTGATATTTTTTACCTTGACCAAATGGGTAATATGTGGCACACATTCCTTGAAACAAATATACTCTTTATGTATTTTCAAGAACTATAAAAATATTGTCGGTCGGTGTCACTGTGATCTACGTTCATTAATAGACAAATAGCTAGATGACCTTGAGATACCTATTATTACCTTACGAAGTCGTGTTCAATGTTAGGTGAGGTTGTGGAATGATCATTCATGAATAATTCTTCGAACAACTTGATAAATATGGGAATGCTTGGAAACATGACAAATACTATTGCTTTTACGTGTTATATTCCCATGAGGATGTATGAATAAGGATTCAATGAATTCGAATAATCATCGGGCACTAGTAATAAATGAAGAATATTTGCGGATTTTCAGTTCAATCGTGTTCGACAATGAGTTTTCAGATATTGAATTCTGGACACAAAAACTTTGTCTTATCTCCACTAAGAATATTTGAAATATTCAATATGAGTCATTATAATTTATCATTGAGACATAGATTCTCACTTCTATAGCTACTATCTATTCTCAGATCCAATCCAAAATCCAGTCAATTTTATTTCACGTTATGTAACAGGTAGGTACCATGAAGAAACTATCTATCAAAAATATTTCTCGATGCCCGTCAGGAAATAAAGGGGTAATACTTTCAATCCCTCATTTGAGGTCTTAGGGTGGCACTTTTGACCTATCAGTAATTGAAACCAAAAAGTGATTTTTTTTCTCGAACGACATAGCAAAGGCTTTCAAGGTATATCACATTTCATATTTCGATTGTAACAACAAATTATCGGTCAGCGAAGTTGACATTCTGGAACTAGAGTACTGCTACGGAAACGAGAGTACCGTGTTTCAGTATTTTTAGTTTAAGCTATATTTCCACTCCTGAAGGGTACAAAATAGTATACAATCGTGGTTTGTGGCTGAAATTATTTTCGACTCTTCAGCGAATTGTAACCCTTTCTCTGGTAGCGCTACCTATACCTTGAGGATTGAAAGTGCCACTTTAGTCCCTGGATATATAATCTACTATTTACCAGTGGCGTAACAACACATCGTCAAAGTCCCGTGGCAAAAGCATGTGTGGGAGGCCCTTACTCAATGTGAAAGTTTATGTATAACAGATCAACCAATCTGTAGTTTATTGTTAATGAATTAAAATTACTACGTAAAATATGTACAAATGGTATTATAATAATTGTGTGCATATATGTCGTTGTTTTTCCATTAACTTCCAATTCAACAAGAAGCTGATTGGAATGGAATAACAATTTAATTGGCATAATTTTGATTATTGAAATTCCATTTTTAGGACTTTCTGATCAGCAAAAGTGTTTATGACATCATCAGAATTCAAATTTCGGGCCAGGGAATGTTCGATGGAAAGAATTGCTAAGTTACCTAATCTTTCTTGTCTCATAGAATTTCTGGAATATCTGGAATATACAGGGTGAAATTTAAGTATCTGGCGAAACTTCAAGGGGCGATTATTCGAATGATTCTAAGTCGTTCATATAATCATAGGCCCTAAAATGCTTCGTTTTCAAGATGAAGGGTGTTGTAGTTGGGATTATTGATTGTTGTTTTTTATGATTACTCTGCTTTAGCTTTGATAGCAACATTCAGTCTGGTTGGTATATGAAAAAAAAAAAAATGAAAATTTCAGAATAATACTCATTCAGGTTATTGGGTAATCCCAATGGGTGATTTTGACGGCACCTACTTTGACATTTTGGGACAAATCAATTCTTTATAATTTCCTCAGAAGCTAAGTGTTATATAAAAATTCATCATAGGACAAGCAAATTGTATTTCCATTGTTGTTCATATTGATAAAAATATGGAAAAAACGTAGGTATCGTATTTACCATAATTATTATCGAAATGGTTACCCACTGCGACGCAACTGGAATCATTATTTCGAATCTAATCACACCAAAAGAAGCTTCTTGATACTGTTAACAGAATCACAAAATTTCATTGTTATTGGGAGAAAAATTCTGAGTAATCAATGAAAATACGATTTATCATTGAAATTTTGACACCCTGTATCTTGAAAACGAAGCATTTCTAGACCTATGTTCATTCAAATTTTTCGTCTTAGAATCAACCAAATGATAAACTCATAGACCAGTGACTTCAATAACAACCTGTGTATCATGGAAGCTTGAAAACAAAAAATGTTTCATATTGATTAATGAATCGATGAGTTCTTCAATTTTTTATCAATAGGTAGATGACAAAGCAATAACATCTTCCTCCTAGATATATGTATTCACCTAGTATGTGCGTACCTAATTGATATACTTTGTTGTCCTATGAATTCAACAATTAATAAATTTCACCTCTAGCCGCCCATCCTTGTATTATATCCTTGTCACAATTCATTAATAATATATAGTAACATTCAACATCGTAACAGTTGAACCAAGTATAAGGTGTTCTATGAGTAAACAGTCGAGAATTCGAGATGTATATGTGGAAGATGGTCGGACCTTTTATAAAAATGTCGCCCTTCAAAATGAACATTTCAGTAGGGCTCTGCAATGAATAATTCAAGAATCGAGTAAAACACTAACTTTTCAACCTCAGATTCTCAATATTCGAGTGATAGCATTAGGAAATATGTACTCGGTAGCTTGATAACGATATGAATTTCACTAACTAACTATACAAAAGTATACTAATTTTTTGATATGATAGTATTGATCACTTAAGACCATAATTTATTCTGTTGATAACAACGATTCCACACACTATTTTATAAGGAGGTTATTGCCACTTCGAGGGCAAATATCTCTGAATGGAACCAAAATCATTTCTACCTGTGATTATTCAATTTTGAGTTCCAACTGTTGTTTAGTTATTGGATATCATGTGATAATATATTTTTAACATGTCGTTGTCAAATGTTTTACCCATGTCTAACTCTATTACTCATGAATATATTTGCTCTCATATTTTCAATTCCAACATTTGAATAAACATTTTTTGACCACAAATGTTTTGTTTTCATTGAGACTCACCTAATTCATATTTGCGTTCGAACTCTGAGAAAACAAGAAAGTTAACTCTGAGTTCTATTTTGCATTCCTGAAAAGATATCTATTCTATACCTGTACCTCCATTAAAAATATCGATTGTTTTTGTCCCACCTACTCACCGATAATATTCAGTTTCTCCAGTTTCAATCTACATTCCTTACCAAATATGTTTCATCCACATCAACCCACTGTAATAACAAGACAGAATAAAAAAAATGGGAAAGTCTGATTGATTTTTCAATGATAATTCCTGTAATGATGTAGGTTCCATTAAAATATTAGACAATCCATATATAGACGTATCCCCTTCTTTGAATGTTACAGATCGCAGAGCACGCTTGGTCGATTCAGTAAATCAACAACGCGCTTGGTGAACAGTCAACCACTAGGAGAAAGGAATTCTCAGACACTGCCTAGGCACCTGAACAAACAAGAACCCACATCTAGACTGGGTAATAGATCCAACAGTACAATCAACGTGTCCATTATCAATACATTATCATCACCAAGAAAAATAGAAGGACCTACGAAGCCAGCCAGGACTTACAAATCGAATTTATCGAGGAGCAAAAGTTTGAACGTGCACGCAGGCCTAGATCCTTCCATACCAGGCATGTATACGAGCAACCCACATTTGAACAATAACCCAATAGGGCTCAAAAGTCCTGGATTAATTTCAAGTCTTAATAGAAGCCAGAGAGACATCAACGAGGACGTCTACACAACCCGTTTTGTCAGAAACGGCAATAGTGAAAACGTGGACAGCAAGAGGGTTTTTTTATCTACCCTTAGAGATCGAGCCCCGGAATTGTTCAAAACACTGGAGGACAGTGACAAGTATTCTACCCCTCTGAGAAATGGAAAGAGCTATAATGGCGACATTTTCGAGCCTCCAACCAGATTGAGGGACAGCAAACACTCAACATCTGCTCCAAAAACCTCTCTGATTCGTAGAGGGAGTTCCTCTAGTACCGACTTCTCGGAAACGTATCACACAACAACTAGGAACGAGGATCCTCGGAATCCAAGTATTACGAACACAACCAAAACTTTTAGTAAAAAGACAATTCCGGCCCATCATGGTAGAGGGGTAGAGACTGTCGAGTCCAGTGAAACTAAGATAACAAAAAGTAGTCATTATAGAGGTGGCAGTGAACCTCCCAAAATGGTCCGCCAAGAAAGGTATTATAACAGTTCTGGATCTAAACCTGTGGTGATTGAAGTTCGAAATTACAAGTAGGAATTGATTCTTGTGCCTTATTGGTTAGTTATAGTGTTCATTTTTGTCCATTTTATTTAATAAATTGAACTCACATTCTGATGTTTCTAACTCATCTAATTTAACTTTAATCTATACATAGACATATAATTATTGTTGTTAACATTATATTTATATATACTGTAAAATTGTCTTTCTGAATTTTTATTGTAGGTGTATGATTTTTGTGAGTAGACCTTGATGAGAAATCGAACGTTATTCAAAATTATGAGCGATGAATAAAAAAGCATATCGATGCAAGTGAAATTATGTGGTAGTCTGTCAAGTAGTCTTCATCGAATAATCAGGAACATTTTAACCTATTACTTCATCAATATCGAAACTTCGAAATGAAATCATATTCCTTATTATTATGGAAGGGTAAAATGAATAAGTAGATCCATTGCTGAAAATGTGGGTTTTTAGCAAACTTCCAAGAGAAAAATTCGCTTATTCACCTTATATATATGAGTCAATGACATTGACAATATGATCTTTTGCAACAAATTCTCATTAATATAATTGATTCATAAATGTGAATACATATAGTTGAGGTGTCATTAGATTGTTGTGAATGGAATTCACGTACGTATTGTGTCCAGAAAAATATTATTCTCTGTGCTCATGTTACTTCTATCTTCATGTATTAACACGATTTACACAATATTGTTCATGAAGAAATAATGGAAGGTATAGCATTATTCTGAAGAACAGTGGAGAAAACAACTACTTTCCTGGCTATTTGCCACGTCGAACATTGAATTATATCTGTTGAACATCCAAAAAGAGAGCAGAGTTTATAGAAGTATACCTACTTCTCATATACATTTCAATTTGAGAGATGAAGTCAATTCTCAATTTCAATGTTCAACATATATAATTCAATGTTCCACGTGGCAAATAGCCAGGAAAGTACTTATTTTCTTCGGTTGAATATTCAGAATGATATTATGTGCATATCTCTATATGAAGGAGAATTCAAATTCTCTACTTCAGAAGATTTTGTTTTCAAATTCTTATCGTGTATGTTCACAAAATGTAATTAAATGTTCGTCGTGGCATATAGCCAGGAAAGCAGTTGTTTTCTGTTGAATAAACCGAGAACGAATTGATATCTTCATCACAGAGAGAATGCGAATTCTCTATGTATTTTTATATATATACAGGGTGATCCACGGTAGATGGCCTATTAGAAGTATCTGGAGAACAAAACGACAGAACATTCTGGAAATTTGGATGCTTTGATAATTGAACATCCTCTATCGGTCTGAAATATTTTCATAGATACAGTGTTGCCACTTCTATCAGAAACAACTAGCAACTTCGCTATTTCAAACGGAGCACCCTGTATTTCATTTCATCTTTAGATTCTTCCTGAAAAGTTGATTTCATCAATGCATCACACTTGGAGACAAGCAGGAATGACTACAGAGATATAGGGTGTTCAAAATCGAGATTTTTCAATTTAAGGATTTTTTTGTGTCGAAACTATTCATTATCGATCAAAACGGCTTACATGTCCCACTTGATTCACTATCTACTGGAATTTAATTGGAAAAAATGCATGGTGCTTCAAGATTCAGAATTCTGATCACCCTGTATCTGTTCCAATTAAAATTGTCAGTACAATTTTATATCATGGGAATATTTGACTGTATCTGTATCTTCCGTTTGAAGAAACTTTGTTTTTATTTAGCCACCCTATATTTCGTTGATATAAAAAAAGTTAGCACTGATTCAAAAATTCGTGCAAAAATTTTCCAGCAAAGTTTTCAGAATGACCAAAATATGTTGAGAATTACAAGGAGAAAGGAAGGTTATACATTTAGATGAAATAAAATACTACAAACTGAAACTATCATTATATGGATGATTCACAACGTTGAATATTGAATATTTAATGAACATTCGTAAGACGTACAATATTGAACCTACAGTATGTACAGTGTGTCCGGAGATGAAACCGACAAGATTCATGGGGTTATAGGGACTGTCAATATGATTGCAAAATGCCATAAACCAAGGTCCAAAATCGCTTCGTTATTGACATACAGAGTGATTCGTGGATTTTGACAAAAAATTCAATCCGCCATATCAAATACAGGGATTAACCGATTAGATTCAAATTTGGTACACGGATTACATTGAAAAGCATCAACAAGTAGCCCTCTGATCGAAACCAATATCAGGACCGGAATGATATTTTTTCCCTATTTTGAGTTATAGTGTATAATAATATCCGAAAATTTCAACTCAGATTCGAAATCTACGGTGAAAATTGTATAGGAATTTGTAAAAAATTCTCCTGGCATCATCGTAGTCATTCCGTAATTAATTATTATTTTAATATTTTTCATTCAAAAATCAATTATTGTCGGATAAAGTAGGTACCATCAAAATTGGTAATATAATAAATATTAAACAAAGGATGATATGAATATCGTTATTTTCTTCAATCAGTTCGTGAATCGTAGTAGAATAAAATACTCTCATAACCCGAAAAAACTGAAGAATAAATTCGTATCAGGACTGGAATGATGTTTTTTATGATTATATTTCTGTAAGAATAGATGATCTGAAATAACAATAATGGAATTCACTGAGAAACGTGAAAAACTTGTTGAAAAATGAGTAGCTTATAATGTTTGTGTAAAAAGAATACTAGGCTTGTGTCAAATACAGAATTTCATTATGGAAAACCATTGTTAAGCTGTCATAAGCGTTTGTTTTATTGGTGTTCATTCATTATTCCAGTGTTTTTAGGATCAAACTATAGTTCTGGGAGTGTGTTTATGATGCCGTTTCATTTCACTAATGAGGAATACGCAGATATTCTATTTGTGTATGGGCTTCACCTGGTGATGTTCACCTAAATTTCCTTGTCAATACTTGACCCGAATCTATTGCAAGGTATAAATACCTGGGGTAAGTGGTTTCAGCATGATGGTGCTAGACCTCAATTTTCAGTTCCAGTTAGAAACCATCTCGATGCCAATTACCCCAATAGATTCCAGTCCTGATACGAATTTATTCTTCAGTTTTTTCGGGTTATGAGAGTATATTATTTTACTACGATTTACGAACTGATTGAAGAAAATAACGATATTCATATCATGGTTTGGTTAATATTTATTATATTACCAATTTGGATGGAACTTTATTCGACAATAATTGATTTTTGAATGAGAGAAATGAAAATAATAATCGGAATAACTGAGATAGTGCCAGGAAATTCTTCAACAAATTCCTATACGATATTTACCGAAGATTTCGAATCTGAGTTCCAAATTTCGGTTTTTATTATACAAGGTGAGTTATTCTCACAAAAACTCAACAGAGGGGAAAAATATGATTCCGGTCCTGATATTGGTTTCGATCACAGGGCTACTCCTAAATGCCTCTTAGTGTAATCCGTGCACCAAATTTGAATCCAATCGGTTGATCCCTGTATTTGATATGGCGAATTGAATTTTTGGTCAAAATCCACAAATCACTCTGTATCTCAGTAGCGAAGCGGTTTTGGACATTCGTTTATGGCATTTTGCAATCCTATTGACAGTCCCTATAACCCCATGGGTTTTGCCGGACACCCTGTATATCTAGAAAGAAAGATTTTCATCCAACGTACATAGATGTTCAATTCTTGAACTAAAACCACCATGGGGGGAATATGGATGTTTCATGATGTCGAAAATTGTACATCCATATTAGACGTACGAAACTGAACTTGAACGTGCATTGACGTACATTTTGTAAATGTACAAACTGGATCCAATCAAGTTCATCTTCTAGACGTTATGAAACTACCATCTTATTCATGATGTCAGATATTGTATTTTCAATGGACATCCATCAGACGCACAATATTGAACTAACAATATTCATTCAGAATCGGTCATTCATCGAACATTGCCGTTCAAATCGTAAGCGTACAATTTAGATCCAATTCTGTACATTTCTTGGACGTTCTGAAACCTACAAATATGAATGTTCTGGTAATGTCGAATATCGAACTCACAATAGACATCCATTAGGCGATCCATTGGACGTCCCTGTTAGGTTCATGGACGTTTTGACATCATTTGGACCTAAACTGGACGTCCAGTGAACATCTTGTGCTGTCATTAGTGCTGTAGCCCAAAGGATAAGATAACTTGGTAAACTTTGTTTGGATTTGCATCATTTACATTGTTGAAATGGACATCGAAGTCCCCTGCGATGATTATTTAAATTTCCTTCTGATAATGTTTAATGCATTGCGAAGCATTTGACATCATCTGAATTGAATTATCAACATTCCCATTTTCAGTTGATCTGTATACATACATCATAGCAAGTTCAAAATATCTCAGGTATTAGGCAGATATTCACATATTTCGCAAATAGACATTTTATGATAAACATTTTTAGTTGTGGTATGATGAGACCATCATGTGTGAGTACAGTGAAAACTTACTAATTGAAAATCTTCTATGATTAAGTATTTGATACCATCGGAGGATAGCCAATGCTCTGAGATACAAATGACTTTTATTGTTGGATAAGTCTGAAGGAAGTGTTCTATTATCAGCGTTTCGTTCGATATACTTTTGGTATTTATATGAAGAACAGAGATGCCCTTTCCCATATCTTCTTTCAATGAAATGTGGGATTGGAATTTATGTTGACAGAGGATCCACTCTTGCAGTTGTTCTTGGAATCCTCCTAGGAAATAGAAACGAGACGAAGGTCCCATTTGGCCAATGTTTTTTCTTCCAGGTTCACTCATAGAATTGTTGGTTCATTGTGACCTTCATTGTAGGATGAAGATCCGGGCGCTTTGACTGAAACTTCTCACATCAGCAAACCCCAAGAAACTTGACCTCTAACATCTTTTGTAGGTCTTCGGTCTTAGTACCTGATCTCAACTTTGTGATTTGAAGAGTGAAGCTTCAACAGTCGTAACCTTCTCATTTCTTACCCACCATGAATATCTGCGTTTTGTCGGTCTTTTGTATTTAGTCTGCATCTTCTTTGGGTGCGATCATATGTCCGAGACTTACATTGTTATCAATAATAAGTGTTTGGAGCTCTGTCATTTCATGCAGAGTGTTTTCGCATCTAGGACTGCAGTATGCACAGCTATTAGCTGGATTACATGTTTACTCACCAACTCTCCAGTGTGTCAAGCACCTGATACTATATATTGATTGACTATATATAAAGAAATTTGTAATGAAACTTAGTGCCACTTCATACCTTAAAACAACGGCTCGGACGATCTGGACTCTGGAATCTGGATTCTGGATGAATGGAATGATAAATGGAACGTGATGCACCTCAGAAATTATTTGCGATCGCTACTTTGAAGTTGATTGAATATGTTTGGCTTTGAGAGGCACATTGGACTCGCATTTTATAACTATGACTTCTTAATTGAGAGTGGTTCAAAATTGAGTGTGTCCGATCTTTGAGCGATTCCGTGGACGATATCTGAAGATACGAAGCTTTGCCAAGTACTCAAGGAGGCTAATTTGAATTTGAACAATTGCATTATAATGGCTTGGTTCAATTTATGACTAGACTATCAATATGCTTGAATATAGAACATGAAAATGACGAACACATGAAAACTGATAAAGTCGTGACATATACTTTTTGGTGCAGAACTTTAGTTACCTATATCACCCTGAATCTAGCGAATTGCAACATGATAATCTCGATGTTTTTGCGTGAAAGTCAAATGCAAATAAATTCATTAAGAAATTCAAAAATAAATCAAATAATTCATATGGATTCACAAAAGAGTTTGTAAAACGGAAAGGAGGCTCGATAATTCGTCCCTGAAAAAATATGTCTCTGTAGATTGATATCTCATCATTCAGCATACTGTATGATGTTTATCTTGAAATCAAACTATGTTTCAAATTTGATATAGATTTCTCGAAAACATAAAGAGCTATAAAGGAAACGAGAAAAAATTCTTGTCATTTCAACGCTCTGTAGATCGTTAATATACCAACCCTCTTCAGACACATGTTGAAAAAAGTCTTATTCCGACAAAAAAGAATACGCTTCTGAAATTTCGATATTTAAAATACCCTGATGTTAAATCCATATGTTCAATCCCGAAGAG